AGACCTCTACCCTCCATGATACTGAGTGTATTGTTTCAGACAGACCTCTACCCTCCATGATACTTAGTGTATTGTTTCAGACAGACCTCTACCCTCCATGATACTGAGTGTATTGTTTCAGGCAGACCTCTACCCTCAATGATACGGAGTGTATTGTTTCAGACAGACCTCTACCCTCCATGATACTGAGTGTATTGTTTCAGGCAGACCTCTACCCTCCATGATACTGAGTGTATTGTTTCAGGCAGACCTCTACCCTCCGTGATACTGAGTGTATTGTTTCAGGCAGACCTCTACCCTCCATGATACTGAGTGTATTGTTTCAGGCAGACCTCTACCCTCCATGATACTGAGTGTATTGTTTCAGGCTGACCTCTACCCTCCATGATACTGAGTGTATTGTTTCAGGCTGACCACTACCCTCCATGATACTGACTGTATTGCTTCAGGCAGACCTCTATCCTCCATGATACTGAGTGTATTGCTTCAGGCAGACCTCTACCCTCCATGATACGGAGTGTATTGTTTCAGGCAGACCTCTACCCTTCTTGATCCTGAGTGTATTGTTTCAGACAGACCTCTACCCTCCATGATACTGAGTGTGTTGTTTCAGACAGACCTCTACCCTCCATGATACTTAGTGTATTGTTTGAGACAGACCTCTACCCTCCATGATACGGAGTGTATTGTTTCAGGCAGACCTCTACCCTCAATGATACTGAGTGTATTGTTTCAGACAGACCTCTACCCTCCATGATACGGAGTGTATTGTTTCAGACAGACCTCTACCCTCCATGATACTGAGTGTATTGTTTCAGACTGACCTATACCCTCCATGATACGGAGTGTATCGTTACAGGCAGACCTCTACCCTCCATGATACTGAGTGTATTGTTTCAGGCAGACCTCTACCCTCCATGATACTGAGTGTATTGTTTCAGGCAGACCTCTACCCTCCATAATACGGAGTGTATTGTTTCAGGCTGACCTCTACCCTCCATGATACTGAGTGTATTGTTTCAGGTAGACCTCTACCCTCCATGATACTGAATATATTCTTTCAGACAGACCTCTACCCTCCATGATATGGAGTGTATTGTTTCAGACAGACCTCTGCCCTCCATGATATGGAGTGTATTGCTTCAGACAGACCTCTGCCCTCCATGATATGGAGTGTATTGCTTCAGGCAGACCTCTACCCTCCATGATACTGAGTGTATTGTTTCAGACAGACCTCTACCCTCCTTGATCCTGAGTGTATTGTTTCAGACAGACCTCTACCCTCCATGATACTGAGTGTATTGTTTCAGACAGACCTCTACCCTCCATGAAACTTAGTGTATTGTTTCAGACAGACCTCTACCCTCCATGATACTGAGTGTATTGTTTCAGGCAGACCTCTACCCTCCATGATACTGAGTGTATTGTTTCAGACAGACCTCTACCCTCCATGATACTGAGTGTATTGTTTCAGACAGACCTCTACCCTCCATGATCCTGAGTGTATTGTTTCAGACAGACCTCTACCCTCCATGATACTGAGTGTATTGTTTCAAACAGACCTCTACCCTCCATGATACTGAGTGTATTGTTTCAGGCAGACCTCTACCCTCCATGATACTGAGTGTATTGTTTCAGACAGACCTCTACCCTTCCTGATACGGAGTGTATTGTTTCAGGCTGACCTCTACCCTCCATGATACTGAGTGTATTGTTTCAGACAGACCTCTACCCTTCCTGATACTGAGTGTATTGTTTCAGGCTGACCTCTACCCTCCATGATACTGAGTGTATTGTTTCAGACAGACCTCTACCCTTCCTGATACGGAGTGTATTGTTTCAGGCTGACCTCTACCCTCCATGATATGGAGTGTATTGCTTCAGGCAGACCTCTACCCTCCATGATACTGAGTGTATTGTTTCAGGCAGACCTCTACCCTCCTTGATCCTGAGTGTATTGTTTCAGACAGACCTCTACCCTCCATGATACTGAGTGTATTGTTTCAGACAGACCTCTACCCTCCATGATACTTAGTGTATTGTTTCAGACAGACCTCTACCCTCCATGATACTGAGTGTATTGTTTCAGGCAGACCTCTACCCTCAATGATACGGAGTGTATTGTTTCAGACAGACCTCTACCCTCCATGATACTGAGTGTATTGTTTCAGACTGACCTCTACCCTCCATGATACTGAGTGTATTGTTACAGGCAGACCTCTACCCTCCATGATACTGAGTGTATTGTTTCAGGCAGACCTCTACCCTCCATGATACTGAGTGTATTGTTTCAGGCAGACCTCTACCCTCCATAATACTGAGTGTATTGTTTCAGGCTGACCTCTACCCTCCATGATACTGAGTGTATTGCTTCAGGCAGACCTCTACCCTCCATGATACTGAGTGTATTGTTTCAGGCTGACCTCTACCCTCCATGATACTGAGTGTATTGTTTCAGACAGACCTCTACCCTCCATGATACTGAGTGTATTGTTTCAGACAGACCTCTACCCTCCATGAAACTTAGTGTATTGTTTCAGACAGACCTCTACCCTCCATGATACTGAGTGTATTGTTTCAGGCAGACCTCTACCCTCCATGATACTGAGTGTATTGTTTCAGACAGACCTCTACCCTCCATGATACTGAGTGTATTGTTTCAGACAGACCTCTACCCTCCATGATCCTGAGTGTATTGTTTCAGACAGACCTCTACCCTCCATGATACTGAGTGTATTGTTTCAGACAGACCTCTACCCTCCATGATACTGAGTGTATTGTTTCAGACAGACCTCTACCCTTCATGATACTGAGTGTATTGTTTCAGGCTGACCTCTACCCTCCATGATATGGAGTGTATTGTTTCAGGCAGACCTCTACCCTCAATGATACTGAGTGTATTGTTTCAGACAGACCTCTACCCTCCATGATACTGAGTGTATTGTTTCAGACAGACCTCTACCCTCCTTGATCCTGAGTGTATTGTTTCAGACAGACCTCTACCCTCCATTATAAGGAGTGTATTGTTTCAGACAGACCTCTACCCTCCATGATACTGAGTGTATTGTTTCAGGCAGACCTCTACCCTCCTTGATCCTGAGTGTATTGTTTCAGACAGACCTCTACCCTCCATGATACTGAGTGTATTGTTTCAGACAGACCTCTACCCTCCATGATACTTAGTGTATTGTTTCAGACAGACCTCTACCCTCCATGATACGGAGTGTATTGTTTCAGGCAGACCTCTACCCTCAATGATACGGAGTGTATTGTTTCAGACAGACCTCTACCCTCCATGATACTGAGTGTATTGTTTCAGACTGACCTCTACCCTCCATGATACTGAGTGTATTGTTACAGGCAGACCTCTACCCTCCATGATACGGAGTGTATTGTTTCAGGCAGACCTCTACCCTCCATGATACTGAGTGTATTGTTTCAGGCAGACCTCTACCCTCCATAATACGGAGTGTATTGTTTCAGGCTGACCTCTACCCTCCATGATATGGAGTGTATTGCTTCAGGCAGACCTCTACCCTCCATGATACTGAGTGTATTGTTTCAGGCTGACCTCTACCCTCCATGATACTGAGTGTATTGTTTCAGACAGACCTCTACCCTCCATGATACTGAGTGTATTGTTTCAGACAGACCTCTACCCTCCATGAAACTTAGTGTATTGTTTCAGACAGACCTCTACCCTCCATGATACTGAGTGTATTGTTTCAGGCAGACCTCTACCCTCCATGATACTGAGTGTATTGTTTCAGACAGACCTCTACCCTCCATGATACTGAGTGTATTGTTTCAGACAGACCTCTACCCTCCATGATCCTGAGTGTATTGTTTCAGACAGACCTCTACCCTCCATGATACTGAGTGTATTGTTTCAGACAGACCTCTACCCTCCATGATACTGAGTGTATTGTTTCAGACAGACCTCTACCCTTCATGATACTGAGTGTATTGTTTCAGGCTGACCTCTACCCTCCATGATATGGAGTGTATTGCTTCAGGCAGACCTCTACCCTCAATGATACTGAGTGTATTGTTTCAGACAGACCTCTACCCTCCATGATACTGAGTGTATTGTTTCAGACAGACCTCTACCCTCCTTGATCCTGAGTGTATTGTTTCAGACAGACCTCTACCCTCCATTATAAGGAGTGTATTGTTTCAGACAGACCTCTACCCTCCATGATACTTAGTGTATTGTTTCAGACAGACCTCTACCCTCCATGATACTGAGTGTATTGTTTCAGACAGACCTCTACCCTCCATGATACTGAGTGTATTGTTTCAGACAGACCTCTACCCTCCATGATACTGAGTGTATTGTTTCAGACAGACCTCTACCCTTCATGATACGGAGTGTATTGTTTCAGGCTGACCTCTACCCTCCATGATATGGAGTGTATTGCTTCAGGGAGACCTCTACCCTCCTTGATCCTGAGTGTATTGTTTCAGACAGACCTCTACCCTCCATGATACAGAGTGTATTGTTTCAGACAGACCTCTACCCTCCATGATACTTAGTGTATTGTTTCAGACAGACCTCTACCCTCCATGATACTGAGTGTATTGTTTCAGGCAGACCTCTACCCTCCATGATACTGAGTGTATTGTTTCAGGCAGACCTCTACCCTTCATGATACTGAGTGTATTGTTTCAGACAGACCTCTACCCTCCATGATACTGAGTGCATTGTATCAGAGAGACCTCTACCCTCCATGATGCTGAGTGTATTGTTTCAGACAGACCTCTACCCTCCATGATACTGAGTGTATTGTTTCAGAGAGACCTCTACCCTCCATGATACTGAGTGTATTGTTTCAGGCAGACCTCTACCCTCCATGATACTGAGTGTATTGTTTCAGACTGACCTCTACCCTCCATGATACTGAGTGTATTGTTTCAGGCAGACCTCTACCCTCCATGATACGGAGTGTATTGTTTCAGGCAGACCTCTACCCTCCGTGATACTGAGTGTATTGTTTCAGGCAGACCTCTACCCTCCATGATACTGAGTGCATTCAGTCATTACAGTTTCCTGCACCTTGCGGCCAACATGTACGTGCTGTGGTCCTTTTCCTCCATCTCCCTCAACCTGTTCGGGAAGGAGCAGCTCTCGGCAGTCTACCTCAGTGCAGGTAAGCAGCTTCAGTCTACCTCAGTGCAGGTGAGCAGCTTCAGTCTACCTCAGTGCAGGTAAGCAGCTTCAGTCTACCTCAGTGCAGGTAAGCAGCTTCAGTCTACCTCAGTGCAGGTAAGCAGCTGCAGTCTACCTCAGTGCAGGTAAGCAGCTTCAGTCTACCTCAGTGCAGGTAAGCAGCTTCAGTCTACCTCAGTGCAGGTAAGCAGCTTCAGTCTACCTCAGTGCAGGTAAGCAGCTTCAGTCTTCCTCAGTGCAGGTAAGCAGCTTCAGTCTACCTCAGTGCAGGTAAGCAGCTTCAGTCTACCTCAGTGCAGGTAAGCAGCTTCAGTCGACCTCAGTGCAGGTAAGCAGCTTCAGTCGACCTCAGTGCAGGTAAGCAGCTTCAGTCGACCTCAGTGCAGGTAAGCAGCTCCAGTCTACCTCAGTGCAGGTAAGCAGCTTCAGTCTACCTCAGTGCAGGTAAGCAGCTTCAGTCTACCTCAGTGCAGGTAAGCAGCTTCAGTCGACCTCAGTGCAGGTAAGCAGCTTCAGTCGACCTCAGTGCAGGTAAGCAGCTTCAGTCTACCTCAGTGCAGGTAAGCAGCTTCAGTCTACCTCAGTGCAGGTAAGCAGTTTGTATGGACAGCTTCCGTCCACGTGGTTGGGGAGTTTGTTTGTTAGGGACGGACCATCTGATATTCTGGTGGGGGCCAGGGATTAGCTAATCTTTCTGCAAAAACAGATATATGAGACTAAATATAATTTTACAAAAAACAGCTTGCAAACTATGTATTTTTGGTGGTTGACAAACAAATTTCAGATTAAGAAGCACAATTATTTACTTCAAGAACTTTCTGGGACAACATATTTTTTTCGATAAAATCCAAGGCCATAACCACCCCTCCCACCTCCGAATATCAAATGTAGTGGTGGTATAGGTATATAAATCTTGCTCAAGTGGAGTTGTGGCAGAACCCCCATTACCTATACTACTTTCGGTCCTTTAGTAAACAGTTATTATCTGACTTTCTTCCCTTCTTATTTCAGCTGCAGTGTCTTCCTTTACCAGCATGGTTCACAAGGTCATCAGAGGTAGACCAGTTCCATCTCTAGGGGCGGTGAGTGTTGTCAGGGGGAGACCCATTCCATCTCTAGGGGCGGTGAGTGTTGTCAGTGGGGAGACCAGTTCCATCTCTAGGGGCGGTGAGTGTTGACAGGGGAGACCAGTTCCATCTCTAGGGGCAGTGAGTGTTGACAGGGGAGACCAGTTCCATCTCTAGGGGCAGTGAGTGTTGACAGGGGAGACCAGTTCCATCTCTAGGGGCAGTGAGTGTTGACAGGGGAGACCAGTTCCATCTCTAGGGGCAGTGAGTGTTGACAGGGGAGACCAGTTCCATCTCTAGGGGCAGTGAGTGTTGACAGGGGAGACCAGTTCCATCTCTAGGGGCAGTGAGTGTTGTCAGGGGGAGACCAGTTCCATCTCTAGGGGCAGTGAGTGTTGTCAGTGGGGAGACCAGTTCCATCTCTAGGGGCGGTGAGTGTTGACAGGTGAGACCCGTTCCATCTCTAGGGGCGGTGAGTGTTGTCAGGGGAGACCAGTTCCATCTCTAGGGGCAGTGAGTGTTGACAGGGGGAGACCAGTTCCATCTCTAGGGGCAGTGAGTGTTGACAGGGGGAGACCAGTTCCATCTCTAGGGGCAGTGAGTGTTGACAGGGGAGACCAGTTCCATCTCTAGGGGCAGTGAGTGTTGACAGGGGAGACCAGTTCCATCTCTAGGGGCAGTGAGTGTTGACAGGGGAGACCAGTTCCATCTCTAGGGGCAGTGAGTGTTGACAGGGGGAGACCAGTTCCATCTCTAGGGGCAGTGAGTGTTGACAGGGGAGACCAGTTCCATCTCTAGGGGCAGTGAGTGTTGACAGGGGGAGACCAGTTCCATCTCTAGGGGCAGTGAGTGTTGACAGGGGGAGACCAGTTCCATCTCTAGGGGCAGTGAGTGTTGTCAGTGGGGAGACCAGTTCCATCTCTAGGGGTGGTGAGTGTTGTCAGGGGAGACCAGTTCCATCTCTAGGGGCGGTGAGTGTTGTCAGTGGGGAGACCAGTTCCATCTCTAGGGGCGGTGAGTGTTGTCAGTGGGGAGACCAGTTCCATCTCTAGGGGCAGTGAGTGTTGTCAGTGGGGAGACCAGTTCCATCTCTAGCGGCGGTGAGTGTTGTGAAACCGGGACTGCTTCTTGACATGAAGGACAGAAGCAGGTGTTGTTCGAAGTTATAGCCAAGTTTATTACTGATAAATGTTGTGAACCCTGAAACAATTGTAAAACATTCATTACACAAAATATAAACATATGCTGACATCAAATATTTCATTACATTTGATGATATATACAAAATGCTATAACTACTAATTGATAAGCTTACATCTCATCAAAAACTTAATTAATCTTATATTATAAACCTACTTAACCCGCATATATACTTATATATGTGTATCATATAAATAGAGTAAGATAGACGTGACATGATACATTTACTATGTGTACATACAATATGCAATATATGAGAATATATATAAAACCTAGTAAACCCACCAAGTGTGTGGACCTGGGTTCATCAGTCCAGACACAGACCTCTGCACGAGTAATACAGCTACATCTGCACGACAAGTAAATGAATATATATACACACTGTGCAGACCAATCTGATAGCAGCAATATTACTACAAACCGAAACATAGTGTTATTGCAGAGTAACTTAAAACATTTCTAAAATATAATAGTAAAACCCTGATTCATTCATACATCATACATTCATACATTACACATTCATATATACCAATATGTTACCTAGCAACACATATGTTTCACATTCATACTTCATACTTTCATACATCAGCTTCACAGTGATTGAAGATTTAGTTAAATAGTATTTTAGCACTTACTGAATTATTTACATTACGCAAATAATAACACTTGTAATGCATACAGAAATACAACTAATTACTATGATCTGGCTAATATTTACAACATGACAAAAAACAGCCAAATTATCAAGAGCATAAACACAATATACTGTAGTGATTGGTGCTTCCACACTCGTACATTGGGTTACATCGGATTGGCCACCCGATGTTACTCGTATGTTTCCGGGTGTGATCGAGGCACGTGATCAACTTACCCGCCAAATCTGACAGGTGACAATCGACAGATTGAGACTAGACAGCAGACCGAACGGACGAAAACCACAGAAGCTAACACGATCTCGATCTCCCCTTCACCAAGCTTACGCTGTAAGGTAAGCGCCTTTCCCTATCACTAGGCTTTCACAACAATGGCGCTGTGAACAGGATTAAGCCTAATTGTGATATTTGTGACAAAAGTAAATATGTCACACGACAATGGGAAAGGACTGATGAATGGGTCACGTGATGTCCTTATATAGAGCAAAACTCGCAGTATGGAGCGTTTTGAGCTTTTTCATTGGCTATTAGAGTAATACCCCAATGCTCTTTAGATTTTATATTTATCACTTTTCGGCCGTAAAAACATACTCGTAATGTTAAATGCACAGTAATATCAAAGGGTGTTTATGTATCCACTATCCATGTGTTCTGATCATGTCAACCGCTGGAAGCTGCATGCTTTTCACCCGGCGTATTACGTGTATATTTCATGGTGTTGATTGCAGTGTTGCTTGTACCTAGCTGTCAATCACTGTCACTGGGTGCATGGTAACGCTGTAACAACTCCCATGGCTTTGCGTGTTTTGTTTTTAATATAAATTCTGTCAGCATATTTATATATGTGTAGTGTTATCATCATTTATCCATTTATACTTTTATTATATGTATATAAATTATGTATTCACATTAATGCACATTAAATAGTGGGTAAGTATTCTGCAGGTCTTTTCATTAATGCAGGGGTTTGCAGGTATGTATTCACTGTGCATTATTGTTTATACAAGGTTTTAGGATGACACTTCTGCACTCAGTCATTCGCATGACTGACAGCGGTCAACTGTCACCTAATCCTGGGGTTATATTTATGTATATTAGGTTTTTCAATTATTTATACAAGGTGTTAGGTTGACACTTCTGCGCTCACTCACTCTTGATAAGACTGACTGACAGCGGTCAACTGTCACCTAGACCTGGTGTGTTCATTGCATTTGTTTATTATTTATATCCATTTGGTAAGTGTGGTAGCTTTTGCAATTGTTTAGAATATTTATTTATTTGTCATTTTTATGGTCATGTTTATGCCATGCATGAAATGTGATTGTGTTATATTAGCATAGGTCAAACGTTAGATGGTGCAAGTATTTCACCCTAGTATGGCCGGGTTTCATTTCAGTTTGCGACACCCACTGACCGTACAGATTATTTTGGGGTATGCCATCTGCTTTGTTCACTGCTGGTACAGTTCGGTTATCTTGCCTTCAGTGTTGTGTTTTCATCTGTAAGTCTGGTAGTGTTAGGTAAGGGTAGCTAATGCTTAGCAGCTGAGTAGTCGGTCCTTTGGGGGACGATATCGTTCACTTGGTTCTGGTTTGTGAAGCCTGTAAGTCCGGTTGCTGACAATATGCGTCCACTTTTATGCTCTGTCCTTCATACGAACGGCATCATTCTACTGGTCGCAGTCAGTATATTCGGCGACGTGGAGCATTCTTCACGATCAACTGGCGCTCTATCCTTCTTCAGACGATGGGCTTCGCAGTCGGCTGCCACTGCCTCACCCTATTAGCAACATGTAGCACAATGTTGTTTGGGTTGGTCTCAGTTCTCTACTGGTGGGGGGTAGTGTTGATGGTATGTCTTGGGTTTTCTCTGCCGCCATGGTCTCTCTAGCCCAGGTGTAATCCGCCATGCAGGTTGCAGCTTCCATTCATCTATCCTTTGACATGTACATGATTTGTCATATCCATAATATTGACATCTCTTTACTTAGGTTAGTTTAATGTTATACAGCTACCATGTAGGTACCGAAAGGTCAGCTTCGTCTTACCTTAGGTTGTAGTACAAGAGCAAGAATACTTTAGGGAAGGCCCGGACACTTTTGTTCCTTTCCCAATTGTATTCGTTCCAAACATGGGGTTTTTATAACTTGTACTTTCTAATTAATTATTTAAGACGGGTTTTTGGATTATTTCAGATAATCCAATCATGCCGCCAGTTTATATCAATCTGTGCTCTGAGGAAGAACTCAGGCTTATTCCGGGAATAGGGATGAAACTGGCCCGGAAGATTGTTCAGCTCCGAGAAACCTTAGGCGTACTGACGGAGGAGGACATTCGTAATCTCCCCTCTATCAGAAACCCTGAACAGGCTTTAAGCACCATCTCCTTTGCCACTGGTACTCAAACTGCAGGCTCTTGGTCTACCGGGATGGTGGGGCAACCCGCTTCTAGGCAAGCTGCACCATCCAAAACCAAAACACCTAAATCAGCATTTGGACAATTTACTCCAGCTACGGAAAGTACCTCGAGTAGGTTGTCGCAAGCTAAAATGTTCCATCAAGCAGTTCCTAGCCCTGATATGGATGCTATCAACTCCAACTTAAAACAACTGGAACAAGCGGAGATCAACTTGCAGGCCAGGCGTAGAGGGCTTACTCCACCAAGTCATAGTGCTCTCTATGGCCGGTGGCAGGCGGCCACTCACGATCTCAGCAGGGAGATGGAGGTTTTCTCTGAGGTTCTTGCCAACCTGGAAGCCAGTAGCCCTAAGGATCCTGGATCCAGCCATCTCGCTAAGGCACCCATGCCTAACCCTCATTCTGAGGTACAGGGTACGGAAGTGTTACGGCGGAGTTCTAGGACAAAGCCCAATACTGAGGAGATTGACCCTCGGGTCCTCCAAGGTGCTGAGGGGAATGTCCACCAGAGACAAGCTCTAACCCCTGGGCATAGGGAACGGAGGAGGACAGGCCAAACTCAATCTATGGCCCCTCAACCAAGCCTGATTAACTCAGCCCAGGGGAATGATACGCGTGAAACCCCATCCACCCAACGGACCACTCCATCCAGGTCTCGTTATCCCAAGCCTGCTCAAGATGACAGTCCGGGAGAGAAGGCATTGCAGTACAGGGGATACTTAGACTCAGAGGAGGAGGATACACTTCTGCTCAAGCAAAATGGGGGTGTCCCCATTTGGCCTAGAGAGGACATAAGGCAGAACGATGGGACAGAACATGGTTTGTCCACATATGCCGAGGGGTACCCTAGGGTTAATCATGCCCAAAGGGATTACCCAGAATATGTGGATACATATGGCCATTCATTTGGTAGCCGTCAATGTTCCCGTCCTCGTTGGTCCCCGATGTATGAAGAACAAGACCCTACGAATTATCATTCTGTACGGGATCCTAACCAATGCCGGGTGGATGCTACACATCCTGGGGCCCGCATACCAGCCAATCGCGGGGAACTCCAGCCACTCTGGGATCAATCTGGATTGTATAAAGAAGATCTGGCACATGCCCACAGAGATAGGCAAAGGATGTGTAAGGATAGGACAGAAAGAATCAGGAGGGCTCCTCATCATCAACCAGCCGCCTGGAGAGAGCCATTAGGTAACTCTTCGGATAGCGACTCAGATGAGGTACGTCCACAGCTCATGCAGAGGAGACGTAAAGCAGTGGTTGAAAAACCAACAGCTCCACTACCACGGATGTTATCCTATGATGGTAGTGCAAGATGGTCCTCCTTCTACATGAAATTTCAACGCTTCGCCCGATCTCAGGCCTGGAATGAGGAGGAGAAACTTGACAAGCTGTGTTACTGCCTTGCAGGGAAAGCAGCCGACTTCTTCGCCTTATTGCTAGAGAGAGATGAATTCATCTCCTTCCAAGGAATGGTAAAGAAACTCGAAAGGCGGTTTGGGAAACGGTCTCCAGCTGAGACTGCCCAACTGCAGTTTCCGAATCTTCGTCAGGGCTCAGACGAGTCATTGGAAGAATGGGCGGAGCGTGTACTCCAAGTAGCGATGGCTGCCTTTACAGATCTACCTGAGGACTTTGTGGAACAACAAGTGGTGCGGAGATTCTGCCAAGGATGCGCAAACAAAGAAGCTGCCCACTATGTTTCCAACCTGGGACTTAGAACTCTGGAAGCAGCTATGGACTCAGTCCAAAAGTACTTCCAGAATACCCAGGCAGTCTATGGTAGACCAGTCATTCGACGGGATGTTAGGCAATCGCACTTGGCCAATGAATCTGAGGAAGAATATATGGTTGCCCAAATGACACCTCGTTCAAATTATACCCCTTCACAGGATAAGTGGCAAACTCCATCACAACCTGTAAGGTCAAGTGTGGTGGAACGTTTGACCCGCCTGGAAGCTCGGGTTGAGGAGATGTCAGAAGATATCAAAAAGCTGATGGCTATCGTGAGTCGACGATTTAGAAGCCCCTCATCATCACCAACTAGATCGGGGGAGTGCTTCAAATGTGGGAAAACAGGTCATTTCCGAAGGGATTGTCCAAACAATTACAATGAAGGTGGATATGGAGAGAAGAAAGTCACGTTCAGTGCTCATGAAAAGCAGGGGAGGGAAAGCAAAGCCAGACAAGACCCAAAGGAGGCTTTAAACACTTCCGGATCGAGCACAGAGGCCTAACCTCGATCCAAACTGAAGAAGGCCAACCCCCTAAACTTCCTCCATTGTCGCCACCCCCTGGACATTATCCATCTCTGACCTCCCACACTCAGCCTACAGCTCTCGGGTCAACCAGTACTTCAGATGACGACAATCTGTCAATTCCAGAAATCACAGTTAGGCAATTAAAAAGTGGATCCATGTTTTTGGTACCAGTCCAAATCCAAGACCAGCACACAACTGCAGTGGTGGATACGGCGGCTGAGGTTACCATTATTTCGGACACTTTTTACAAAACACTCTCACAAAAGCCTGAGAAGAAGCAGGACATCAAGTTGAGAACTGCCGGCAGGGACTTCCATATGTCCTCATTTGTAACACAACCACTCCAGTTACAATTAGGGTCCAAAACCTATTCGATTCCTGTAGTAGTGGGCCCAATCCAAGATGATGTTCTTCTGGGACTGGACTTTTTAGTTCCCCAGGGGGCACATCTTGACTTGACTCAACAGTTACTACAGATTGGATCGGATACCATTGAAATGACTCTATGCCGTTCTCAAAAGGTACCGCAAGTATCCAGAATCTCGGTATGGAAGAAGACCATCATTCCGCCGAATTCGGTACAGCAACTTGAATGTCCTATATCAAAGCAACTCTCAGATTTCATTATAGAGCCACGCCTAACAAGTAATGATCTTCTGATGCCCAGGACTTATCAAACTGGAGGAAGCGTACCCATTGTGTGCCTTGTCAATCCTTCGGATCATCAAGTGGTGCTACAGCCTCGTCAAGTCTTAGGGGTTGCCATGGAAATACATCATGTCGAATCCCCCTCGGAACAATCTGCGGCTGTTAGAAGTGGTAATCAACCCAACATCCCTGCTCATCTGACAAGTCTGTTTGAAAGGTCATCAAAGCTACTGCAAGGTCATGAAGTGCATCAACTGGCACAACTTCTCACAGACTATCAAGATGTATTTGCCAAAGATGACTTGGATTTGGGGAACTTTACTGAACTTGAACATTCCATTGATACTGGAAACGCTAAACCGATTAAACAGCGTATGCGAAGAACACCACTTGGATTCGAGAAGGAGGAAGAGTCACATCTTAAGAAAATGTTAGATGCCGGAGTCATTCAACCTTCTGTATCAGAATGGGCTGCACCCCCTGTGTTAATACGCAAACACGATAACACAGTACGTTGGTGCATAGATTATCGCGGTCTGAATGACGTCACGAAAAAAGACGTATTTCCGTTGCCCCTGGTGGAAGATTGTCTTGACACGCTCGCCGGTAATCTCTGGTACTCTAAGCTAGATGCAAACTCAGCTTATTGGCAAGTGAAAATCTCTCCAAAGGATCGCGAAAAAACTGCTTTCATCACCAAGTATGGTCTATTCGAACATATTCGAATGGGATTTGGACTATGTAATGCTCCAGCAACATATTCGCGGGTAATGAACCTCGTGTTGAGAGGATTGACCTGGGATATCGCACTGGCATTCTTGGACGATATTTTGGTGATGGGTACCAAGGTTGAAGACCATCTGACTAATCTCCGATCCATCTTCGAGAGATTCCGAAGTTATCAACTCAAATTGAAACCTCGCAAATGTGAACTGTTTCAGCAGAGGGTTGAGTTTCTCGGTCGCGTAGTTAGCCAAGATGGCCTTGAGGCCAACAATGATGGCCTCAAAGTGGTACTTACCTGGCCCCACCCCACCTGTACCAAGGATGTTGAAAGGTTCCTTGGCTTTGCCAACTACCACAGGATGTTTATCAGGGACTACGCTTCTATAGCAGTCCCGTTGTATCGAATAACGGGTAAGAAGGCATTCCAATGGAATGATGAGCAGGAGCAATCTTTCTCGTCCTTGCGGCATGCTCTTACCCATACACCTGTGTTGGCATTACCTACCAAGGAGGACCCCTTCATCCTGGATACAGATGCTTCGGATGAAGCCATAGGAGCAGAACTGATCCAAGTTCAAAATGGAGAGGAGAGGGTAGTTTGTTTTGGCAGTTTTGGCCTGACCGCCGAGCAGAAACGATACTGCACAACCAGAAAAGAACTGTTGGCAGTAATCAGATTTACAAGGCAGTTTCGACACTATCTGCTGGGACGGCGTTTTACTGTTAGGACTGATCACAGCAGTCTCCAATGGCTGTTAAACTTCCGGAATCCAAATGGCCAATTGGCCAGGTGGCTGGAAGAATTGAGCCAATATGACTTGATTGTGAAACATCGCCCTGGAAAACTGCATGCCAATGCGGACGGTCTATCACGTATTCCACAAGGAGGCCACTGCCACAACTACAGACCAGAAGTAATGTTAAAAAGTTTGCCATGTGGAGGATGCAAATATTGCACTCGGGCTCATGAAAATTGGAGTAGGTTCTTCAGGGATGTGGATGACACCATTCCTCTGGCCCATGTTGGGCGGGATTGCCTCTCCGATGATGACTCACCTGATGATTGTGGCCTGCCGGTCTCCTGTCTTGAAATACAATCCATTGGGGATTCGGGTTTCCAAATGAACACCACCCCAGTGGCCGTAAGACTTGTTGTGACTGATGACGGGCAGAAAGAACAATTTGGGTATTCATCTGAAGAAATATGCAATCAGCAGAGATCTGATCCAGACTTAACCATTATAATGGATTGGATTCAAACTGCTGAGGAGCCGAGTGAATCAAGTCTCTTCTTGGCCAGTCCCGCAGCTAAACACTATTGGTTGAACCGAACTCTATTTCGGATTGACAAGCAGGGATTGTTACGTGTTGATCCTCTCATAAAAGAAAAGACAACACGAGGCATGGCATCCCTGGTGGTCCCGAAATCATTACAGCAAGAAGTGCTAAGGTTGAATCATGATGTCATGGCTGCGGCACATCTGGGAATGGAAAAAACAATCTATAGAGTTAAAACCCGATTCTACTGGCATGGCATGGTACAAGATATCAAGTTGTATGTAAGCACATGTTCAACATGTAGCCGAAACAAAGGACCTGTACGACATGCCCGGTCACCAATGATCAACTTTCATGCAGGGGCACCCATGGAAAGAGTTCATCTTGATTTCATTGGCCCTTTGCCCAAAAGCAAGTTGGGGAATCAATACATCTTGATGATGGTTGACCAATTCACCAAATGGGTGGAGTGCATAGCTTTGCCTACCCAAACGGCTGAGGTGACAGCCAAAGCTGCCGTAGATGGTTTTTTCTCTAGATTTGGTTGCCCTTTCCAAGTATTTACAGATCAAGGAAGAAACTTCGAGAGCAAATTGTTCACTGAACTTTGCACCCTACTACAGATACATAAAACCAGGACAACCCCATATCGTCCCTCTGCTAATGGACAAGTGGAGCGATTTAATCGCACCCTCCTGCAAGCCATTCGTTGCCACATAGATGCAAATCAATCCAGGTGGGATGAATTTTTACCACAACTGGCAGGAGCATTGAGGTCTGCAGTTAATCGGCAAACGGGATATACCGCCAACATGCTGATGCTTGGTAGGGAAATCAATCAACCTGCAGAGCTAGTCTTCAGCGCCACGCAGGAGGAATCTCCATCCTTGAACCCTGACACATATGTGCATCAGTTAGCCTCAGCTCTTGGTGAGGTACATCGCCTTGCCCGTAATAAATTGCAAACTACCCAGCTCCAAATGAAGAGGGATTACGATTTGAGGATTTTGTCCCGAAAGTTTGAAGAGGGGGAGATGGTGTATATACTGGACACTGCCTCCATACAAGGAAAGTGCAAGAAGTTGTCTCCATCCTGGAAAGGACCCGGGATAATCATTACTAGGATTTCCAATACACTGTATGAAGTCCGGACAAGGAAGACAACATCAGTACATCACCATGATCGCCTCAAGCCTTGTCGAGATCGCGTAATTCCAAGTTGGATCCAGAGGTTATCTAAGACAAAGAGTACTTCTGATACTCAAGAGGATCTCAACTTGGAGTGGCTCTTCAAGGACCAAACAAATTATTGTATCTGTAATAAACCCGATGATGGACGATTAATGATAGGCTGTGACCGATGTGACCAATGGTTTCATGGAGCCTGCGTTGGAATCACCAAGAGAACAGCAAACGCTCTGGATGAATACATCTGTCCTCACTGCACCACAGGAAAGGACAGAGTATCCTAGAGGGAAAACTCGAATGTTTCAGAAAAATGGTATTCCAAAGACGTGGACGCTCCAGCGAACGCCATGGAGCCAGGAGCAGGGAGGCCTCAACTTCCTACTGGGCTGGAGACTTGCTATCCACGTCTTCGGGCTCCCAGACCAGCCTAGGAGCTCCAACATCTCCAGGAAGAAGGTCCCCTGCCCCTCATCATGAACGATCAATGTCAGATCAATCCCTGGGACATGTACCAGACCTATCCAAAACGTCCAAGGATAGTGGATACCAGCTCCAGGCCGCACACTCAAGGAAAAGAAGCCCTGAGGATCTCATCATATCTTCCAGGAAGCGAGCCTGTCCGAGCCCGGATAGACGGCAGGTGGCCTCTGTCGTCTATCTTCCTGTTGCCAGCCGGGAGCGGAAAGTCCCACCACGCCCGTCTAACCGACAATCGCGCCGGCAATCACCCAGGCGATCACCCCGGCGTCAGGTGTCTGTGTATTACAACACTGCACGACACAGGCAGCACTCCTCCCCTGTAAGACGAACCGCTCCCAGAAAGGAACAGCGCTCTTCACCCCGGAGACATGTCTCTCCAAGACGGGAACGACGACCTTCGCCGCATAGACATATCTCAAGACGGGAAGTTCCCAGGCAGGAGCGACATGTCTCCCCCAGACGGGATCGACGCCCTAGGTCAAGGAGGCAAGCCCCAGAGCCAAGGCATCAGGCTTCTCCCTCCCGACAGGTCAGGTCAATTAACCAAGGGCTGAGCGTCTCTGTCATTAACAAGGCCGCCCCGAAAATAGCAGCTCGATTCCAGAGTAGTCATCCCCACGGAATGGGATCGAGCTGTCCAATACGGACGTGCGGTACAAGAACCAGGACGCTGCGCCACCATGCCTACGGAGCTCACCTCCCCCCCTGTTTCCGTGACTCCGTACCAGCATCACAAGAAACGGCAGTGGAAATGATATCGGCCATAGAAGACCTTGCCCGGCAGATTTTGGGAGCAGGAGCTACCTGGACGGAATTACACCAGTTCGTCCTAAGGAATAGCCTTGTTCCCAAAGACATACCCCTAAGAGGAAGCTGCTACGGGCTTATAAAAGAGTTATGTAACATCAAAGGATGGCCGTTACCATTGGATTCCGTCAACCTGTCGCCAGATAGCCCTGCCTGCCTAATACATTGGAGGATCTTGGTAGCCCTTCTGGATGTCACCTCGGATGGAGTCCGAAACCATTTCAGGAACTTCGGGAACCTTCTGCCACTGCCAGGACCATCGCCATCTGTGCAAGCCACGCCAATAGCAGAGCTTCCCGGAACATCCACTCGACCGACTCCATCCTCAGCGCCGCCGAATCCAGAGAGACTTCCCAGGGGTTTTGACACCCATTTCCACTCCGATAGGATGCGCAGCAGGCTCCATCTGGACGCTGCCACACCCCTGGAAGAGGTCCTGGACAAGGCCGGCCAGCCAAAAGAGGTAACCATCAACCTTCAGAAGGCGCTACAGATCTTTTGCGACCCAACAACCTGGCCCCAACAACCAACTTTCCATCAGTGTTGGAAGACAGCTGTCGGTTTCCACCCAAAGAATGTGCAGGCCATGGACCCCGACCAACTAGACAAGTTAAGGCACCTGCTATCATCCCAGGATGTAATCGCCTTCGGGGAAATTGGCCTGGACTTCACTGTGGGAAACTGGCAACGGCAAGGGCAAGTCCTAGGGCAGCTCTTCAAGCTGGCACCATCAACCAAGCCAATCATCCTCCACCTCAGGGGCACTACCGCAGACACCTATCAACAGGCTCCACTACAGGAATGCCTACAAATCGCCAAGACTGCGGGAGTACCGTCCACCCAGAGATTCCATCTCCATTGTTTCTCTGGGTCATTTAAAGAAGTGGCACTGTGGACCAAGCACTTCCCTGAGACGTGGTTTGGATACACCGGGATGGTGGCCAGCTTTGATGACCAACAAATATCAGCGTTGCGGTTCCTTAACGCCAAGCGCTTCCTTTTGGAGACGGATGCCCCATATCTGTGGCCTCGCCCAGGTCGCCGAGGAGTTAACAGCCCAAGACTACTGGGTGAAGTTGCAGCTATGGTGGCCACTGCCCGACAGAGCACCACCGCCAACATCCTGGAGCGTGCTTATATCAACGCAAGGCAGCTGTACAGGGTATAATTATTCCCGCCAGATGAATGGGATCTCTGAATCTGACTTGGTCAGGACTGGAACTGAGTCCACCGATCCGGTCTAGATTCTAGGATTCTCATAGAAACATTGTCCTAATCTGACTTGGTCAGGACTGGAACTGAGTCCACCGATCCGGTCTAGATTCTAGGATTCTCATAGAAACATTGTCCTAATCTGACTTGGTCAGGACTGGAACTGAGTCCACCGATCCGGTCTAGATTCTAGGATTTTCATAGTAGCTTTGTCGTCTATTTAAGTTACGTGAACCAACTCGGTTGCCACCAAACAATCTGGTTGGGGATTTTCTTATTTAAGGCGTATAACTAATCTTAACCATGAGTTACGCGAACTGTCTCGGTTGATAGCACAAACTGCTGCCCAACCCTGCAGGGATTTTCTCATGTTTTGGCAAGGTCACCTGTTAGATCCTCCATGTCCTCCTGAGACCACAATGGGGGGCAAGTCCAGAAAAGAGGGAGGAATGTAGTGATTGGTGCTTCCACACTCGTACATTGGGTTACATCGGATTGGCCACCCGATGTTACTCGTATGTTTCCGGGTGTGATCGAGGCACGTGATCAACTTACCCGCCAAATCTGACAGGTGACAATCGACAGATTGAGACTAGACAGCAGACCGAACGGACGAAA